GACTCATAAAATGTGTTAGGAAGTGTTCCATCCTCTTCAAATTTTAGGACGAGTCTGAGAAGTATTGATAATTCTTCTTTAAATATTTGGTAGAATACTCCAATGAAGTCATCTAGTCCTGAGCTTTTCTTTGTCGGGGGGGTTTCGATTACTGATCCAATCACATTACTAGTTATAGGTCCGTCCAGATTTTCTATTTCTTCATGATTTAGTCTTACTAGATTGTATGTTTCTAGCAATTTATCCATTTTTTCTAGATTATCCAATTCATTGGCAAATAATTGTTCATAGTAATCTCATAATCTGTTGCATTTCTATTGCATTAGTTGTAATGTCTTTCATTTCTGATTTTAATTATTTGAGTCTTCTCTTTTTTCTTACTCTAGCTAAGGTTTTGTCAATTTTGTTGATCTCTTCAAAACAAACAATTCTTATTTTCATTGATATTTTCTATTCTCTATTTTGTTTATTTCTTCTCTAATCTTTGTTTTCTTCTTTCTGCTACCTTTGGTTTTAAGTTGTTCTTTTCCTAGTTCCTTGAGGTGTAAAGTTAGGTTGTTGACCTGAGAAATTTCTTCTATTTTAATGTAGGTGTTTACTGCTATAAGCTGCTCTCATAGTACTGCTTTTGCTGCATCTCATACGTTTTGGGATGTTGGTCTTTCATTTTTATTTGTCTTAAGATGTTTCTAGTTTCACTTGTGAGTTGTTCTTTGACCCATTGGTTGTTCAAGAGTGTGTTGTTTAATTTTCACTTATTTGTGAATTTTCCAGTTTTCCTGCAGCTGTTGATTTCTAGTTCCATTCCATATTGGTCAGAAAAGATAATTGGTGTGATTTCGATGTTCTTAAATTTGTTGACTTCTCTGTGGCCTAATATGTGATCTATCCCAGAGAATGTTCACTGTACACTTGAGAAGAATGTGTATACTGCTGCTGTTGGGTGGAGTGTACTGTATGTGTCTGTTAGGTCCCATTGGTCTACAGTGTTGTTCAAGTCCTCGGTTTCCTTATTGATCTTCTATGTGGTTGTTCTATCCATTATTGAAAGTGGAGCATTGAAATCTCCTACTATCTTCAATTCTGTCAATATTTGCTTTATTTATCTGGGTGCTCTGATGTTGGGTGCATATATAATTGTTGTATTGGCCTGGTGTATTGACACTTTTATCTTATATAATTTTCCTCTTTTTCTTTGGTGACAGTTTTGACTGAAAGTCTAATTGATCTGAAATTAGTATAGCCACCCCTGCTTTCTTTTCCTTATATTTGCATGGAATATATTTTTCTATCCTTTCATTTTCAGTCTATTTTTTTTCCTAAGTTTGTCTCTTGTAGACAGCACACAATTGCATCTTGTTTGTTTGTTTTTTTTAAATCCATTTACCCATTCTATGTCTTTTGATTGAGGAATTTAATATATTTACATTTAAAGTAATTACTGACAAAGAACTTACTTTGTTTGGGCACCTATAACACCACCACCATAAACTATACGGCTTATACACAACATTTCTTTCTCACAGTTCTGGAAGCTGAGAAGCCCAAGATCATGGCATTGGCAGATTTGGTGTCTGGTGAGAGCCCACTTCCTCATAGACAGTGCCTTCTCAGTGTGTCCTCACATGGTGGAAGGGGCAAGCTGGCTCTCTGAGGTCTCTTTTATAAGGGGACTAATCCCATTCATGAGGGCTCTGCCCTCATGACCTAAGCACCTCCCAAAGGCTCCACCTCCTAATAGCATTACTTTGAGTATTAGGGCTTGAGCATATGAATTCTGGGGACATAAACATTCAGACCAACCACTTACTATTGCCATTTCGTTAATTGTTTTCTGTCTGGTTTCGTTTTTGTTTTTTTGGTCTCTCTTTTCCTGTTGCGGTGTTTCTTTGATTCTTGTGTTGACATGCTTTGGTGTTTTCCTCAAATTTTCTTTTGTATGTCTTTTATAGGTGTTTATTTTGTGGTTACTGTGGGGTTTACATAAGATACCTCCAAGCTACGATAATATACTGCATGCTGATAACTTCAATCATATACAAAATCTCTCTTTTACATCCCTCACTTTATTGATTCACAAATTACATCTTTATGTATTATGTATCCATTAACATACTTTTAGTTATTTTCATGCTTTTGTGTTTTAAATTCTTATACCAGAATTTAAAATGCTTTACACAACGATTACAGCATCACAGGATTCTGTATTTGTCTATTCACCTTTACCACAGAGCTTTATATTTTTGTATGTTTTCATGTTATTGTCTACCATTTTTTGTTTTAACTTGTAGGACTCCCTTTAGCATTGTAAGGCACATCTAGTGGTGATGAACTCCCTCAGCTTTTGTTCATCTCAGAAAGTATTTCTTCTTCATTTCTGAAGGACAGTTTTTCTGGATAGTATTCTCAATTGGCAGGGTTTTTTTCCTTTCAGCACTTTGAATATACCATTCCACTCCTTTCTGGCCTCTAAGGTTTCTGCTGAAGAACTTGCTGATTAATCTTATGGGAGCTCACTTGTATGTGATGAGTCACTTTTCTCTTGCTGCTTTCGAGATTCTTTGTCTCTGAAATGGACAGCTTTTTTTATTATAATGTGTCTTGGGTGTGGGGCTGCTCAGATTCATTCTATTGGAGCCCTTTGAGCTTCTCAAATTTGGACGTCCATTTCCTTCCTGAGAGTAGAGAAGTTTTCAGCCATTATTTCATCTAATAAGCTCTGTCCCTTTCTCTCTGTTCACTTCCTCAAACTCTCATGATGCATATATTGGTCCATTTTATGCTGTTTTCTAGGTCTCCTGGGCTTTCTCCATTTTTTTCATTTTATTCCTGTGATGATAATTTCAATTATTACAATTGTGGATTCTTTCTTCTGCTTGATCAAGACCACTGTTGAACCCCTGTAGTGAATTTTCCAACTTGGTTATTGTATTTTTTTCTTTTCCCCCGCTGAGGAAGATTCACCCTGAGCTAACATCTGTTGCCAATCTTCTTCTTCTTTTTTTATTTGGTGAAGAAGACTCGCCCTTAGCTAACATCTGCTGCCAGTCTTTTGCTATCTTCTATGTGAGCCACCACCACAGCATGGCCACTGGTAGAAGAGTGGTTTAGGTCCACACCTGGGAACTGAACCCAGGCTATTGAAGCAGAGCATGCTGAACTTAACCACTAAGCCACCAGGGCTGGCCCCAGTTATTGTATTGTTCAGCTACAGAATTTCTGTATGGGTTTTTAAGTTTCTCCTTGTTGATATTCTCATTTTGTTCATTCATTGTCCTGATTTCATAGTTGTATGTGTTCTCTTGTACATCATTGAGCTTCTTTAAGACAACTAATTTGAATTCTTTGTCATATAATTCATAAATCTGTTTCCTTGGGATGGGTTTGCGGAGATTTACTTTGTTCCTTTGAGCCATGGTTCTGCTCTTCTTGTGCCTTGTGATCTCTTTGCTGAGTTTTACTCATTTGATGAAACACCCACCTCTCTGTCTTCTCACAGGGAAGACCTTCACCAATCGGCCTAGCTAGAAACTCTGGGGACCTCTAAAACCCTCTTTGGAGGATACAATTTCTCTGGGCTTGTGAGTAAAATTTCCCAATTAGAGATTGGCAAGTTTCTTTTTCAGGAGTTCATTATCTCTGTGGTGTCTGTTCATGGCACTGCTGGTTCTCTGGTATTGCAGCAGCAAGATGCCACACTTTCTGTTGTTCTCAGTGATCCCCAAGCATCCAGGGTATGCTGGCTCCCAGTCTGCACTGAGTCAGGTGAGACAGATAGCATTCCTCCAGGCAGCCCTCTGAAAAGTTGGAATGCTGGATCCACAATTCATTCTTTCCTTCCTGAGGGAGAAGCTGCAAGTTGGGTGCCTTCTCCCACTTGGGCAGAGCTGCACAGGCCTGTCTGCAGCACTGCAGGTGCTCTGTTGCTGCAGCAAGCCACTCCTGCTCTCCCTTGCTTTTCGTGGTTTGAGCCATCTAAACTATGTCAATTTCATCAGCACCCCAAGTCAGTTGAGACAGAAACCAGTCCTCCAGCAGCCCTCCAATAAGCCAGAATGTTGGATGCACATTCCACGCTTCTCTGCTCTTCCACCCACCCAGAAGCTGTGAGCTGATGGTTTTTGCCCAATTATGCTGAGTTGTCAGCTTGGCAGAGGGGCAATTGTGGGTAAAATGAGACAGCTCTTCTTACCTGTTTCAATGCAGCCATTTTTAACTTTTGCTTGCCTTGGGTATTGCAACTTTTTAACTGGTTCTGGAGTTCTGATAAAGTTATTTTAGTCCATATATTACTGATAAGCTGGTGTTTCTGCAGTGAATGAGGACTGGGACTTTCTATTCCCCCATCTGGCAGATGCCACCCCTCTTCTAATATTTTAAGCAAAAGGGAGACAGTAACAGGCTGCAGAACCCAGAATGATTTCTATATCACATATAAAATATTTACTGAGTGCTGTGGAGCAGGGTGTACCCCTTAAAATTATAAACTGTTGTTTTAAGGATGAGAAAGCCAAGGCACAGAGGTACCACAGCCAAACAGCAGGTACATAAGATCATGTTTAAAAAGTGACTAACATATAGTAGGCACTCAAGAATGAAAATTACTTTTATTATTTCCTTTATACTAAAATTCTTTTGAGATGGAGAAATTATTCTGGATTACCGCAGTAGGCCCAATGTAATAACAAGAGTCTTTATAATTAAAAGAGGGAGAGAGATTTCAAGATGCTATGCTGCTGGCTTTGAAGATAGAGGAAGGGGTCAGGAGCCAATGAACGTGGCAGCTTCTAGAAGCTAGAAAGGGCTAGGAAATGGATTCTCCCCTAGAGCCTACAGAGAAAACACAAGACAGACTTATTTTTGGACTTGACTTCAAGAATTCTAAGATAATAAATTTCTGTTGTTTGAAGCCACTACATTTGTGGTAATTTGTTACAGCAGAAATACGAAACTAATACAGAAGTCCAAGTTAAAAAAATAAAAAGACATTTCAGACAAAATTACTTAGGAAATATTTTATTGTACAAAATTTACATTTTTGTATATGAGAAAAGCATGGTAAAAACAACCTTTTTTCTTTAAGATTTTCTGTGAAAAGTAAAGATTTCCTAATACATTGTCAGATAATACAACTTTTTATATAGTTGTTTAACACTTGGGTTGGTAATAAGTGTCTTCAGACATAAAGTATACAACCGAAAACAGATCAAAAAAGCGCAGGGGGAAGACCACTGCCAAAGAGTAATCTCCAAGAACTTGGTATTTTCCAAGGCAAGGCAGATGCTGTGGGGTCATCGCACTGTAACGGAAGAAAAAAATATTTTACTCCTTCAACTTTACCACCTAATCTCCTTTTTTTTTTTTTTTTTAAAGATTTTACTTTTTTCCTTTTTCTCTCCAAAGCCCCCCAGTACATAGTTGTATATTCTTCGTTGTGGGTCCTTCTAGTTGTGGCATGTGGGACACTGCCTCAGCGTGGTTTGATGACCAGTGCCATGTCCGCGCCCAGGATTCGAACCAACGAAACACTGGGCCACCTGCAGTGGAGCGCGCGAACTCAACCACTCGGCCACGGGGCCAGCCCCCCACCTAATCTCCTTTTAATATGTAAGTATTACAAAACTCTCGCTTCTCTAGTTTTTTTTTTGGTGCCTTCTGGTTTTGACACTTTTAGCTGAGTTTTATTGTAAGTGAAAAGAAAGTAATAAATTTCTATTACTTTATGTCAAATGAAAATAAATTTCCTCAGGTTCTAAATCATAAAGATACACCAGAAAGGATGTGGGTGGAGTCCATCAAGTAAAATCAAATTCAAAAGGAACAAGTGTTAGGAAAAAAACAATGTCAGCACTGTGTGATTTCTGCCAATTTGTTCCTGGCAAAAGCACAAATTAAAAAATTTCAGATACCTAGCATATAAAGCAGCAATGGTACCTGTTATGCCTAAAGGCTACCTGATTTCTCTGGGTTTAACACTCCTATTTCATAATAGAGAAAAACACCTTAATTACAATGCACATTCAACAGCTACAGTATTGCTCACATAGTAATATTTTGTGCTTTCCTTTAAAAAAAATTCCTGAATGCCAAACAGGACATGTTTATTCTTGTAACAAGCTGTCGGATATAATTAATGCAACACACGCAGTGAATACAATGACGTACCGCAGATTTTCTTTTTTCGGAAACCAGCCTTAATGAGGGCTATAGACAAGCTGGTTAACTGCCCTCTTTCCTTTTCAAAACTTCAGCTAAACTAAATCCTATATAAAGTTAAATCTATATTTAACAAAAACCTTCACTTATTTGGTCTACTTATATAGTATATAAAATGCAAGTTTATGAATACACAACCAGAGAAGGCAGAGGCTTAAGCTGCAGTAAAACTTACACGGGGTTTGATTATCTGAAGCCATTCATTAAGATGCTCAACAAGACCCAATGCATCTGGGATATTGTCTCCTTCGGAAACAAATTTCAGCAGGACAGCCAGTGGGATTTCTTTAGAACAGCTACAACAAATAAAAAGAATAATTCATTATTCTTATACTGATACTGATTCCAGTAAGCCAGTTTATAGCTAAGATGATCTGCCAGGTTGTAGGCAAGGAGAAGATGCCACATCATAAGGTCACTTATTTATCTCCCTTTGCCCCAGATATATTTTTCTATCGATGAGGTCAGGATTGGGAGGCATGTAAGGCCCACTCTGGGCATATCCCTGGCTATATCATATGAGGTACGTTCTGATCCACTCCCAAAACCTACTGTAGAAGACAGTGATTTTCAGAAGCCCTGCAGCAAAGAGACTGAAGGAAAAAACCCTTGTTATCAATAATCTAAAGCAGCAAAGGAAGACCGTGGAATACAACAGAACAGTTACAGGGAAAGTAAGTTACTACTACTTCCTACAGATTCCATTTATTGAGTGATTATTATGTGCTAGCACTGTCTGCATATTTTAATGATTCAACCCCTGTAACGATCCTTGACGAAGTTATAATTATCTCCATTTTACAAATGAATCAGTTTGAAACAATGGGAACAAGGACAGAATACGTGTATTCAAATTCCAGCTCTGCACTTACCAGATATGTTGGGCAAGTTACTTACTCAGGGCTTTAGTGTTCCTCACTGTAAAAGGGCAATCACGGTAGACCCAACCTCACAGGCTGCTGAGGGGTGTAAAGGAGGTAATGGGGGGGAAGTGCTCAGACCGGTGCTGAACACACAGTCAACGCTGTGGAAGTGTTCGCTATCACTGCAAGGCAACTGAGATTTAAAGGGACCAAAACATGGTAACAAGATCCCAGTTCTATATCCAGGAAGTGGCAGAGGTGGGATTTGAACTTAGGTCTTTGTGACTTGAAAACAATCTCCTAAATGATTTGCTCTGAAGGCCTCAAGCTAGTGATGAGATGGAGATACAGCAACGCCAAAAGCTTCCTGTCTGCCAAGAAAAAGCAAAAATCATCTCTAACACCCAAAACCAAGAACTATGAGAAAATCCTAAGGCCAAGACATGAGACCACATGACAGACAGTAATAAAGGAGAGTTGGGGTCCCAAGTGGCAGAGACTCTGACCCTGGGTTCAGAAGTCTCAGATGTACTGGGAGAGTCTACCACAGCATCTGAGTCTCTAAAAATGAGAAACTGGAAGTTGTTAGCAGTAATTATACCATCTCAGTACTCAGTTCTCAAATATCTGAGGGGCTCTCAAGCTTTGTATGTAGGCACTGAGAGCTGTGATGGCTCAGAAGATTCTAGTTCCTAAATATTCACACTATCACAGCCTTAGCAATGGCTCCCGTGTGGGGAAGGCTGCCGCCCTGACTGTGCCTTCACGTTAAAGGCTCCCGCTTCAAAAGCCAGGGGTACGGTCTTGAACTCACGGTGCCTCTACTACTACTACTGTCACACAGAGTAACAGTTTTAATACCATCCTCTGGTCCTCTCTGTAAAAAAGGAAGGTGGAGGATGACTAATTTAAGTACTTTCTGTGACATTAAAATTTAGCACGTGATACATCCATTATTAAATTACAAAGTACTTCTATTTGAATTAATTATAAAGGATCCCAGATCAGCCACACCATTGCCACCATTTATTTTGAAGTAACTAATATTATATTTTTAAGAGATCAGAATACATATTTATTCTAATAGAGGAAAGCCAAAATATGTATATTAGCAAAAATTTAGCAAATAATCATGATATGCATCGGGGAGAAAAAAGGATTCAAAATTGTATAAGCTGTATGATAAGAGATTTTCTGCAATTTCAAAAATTCCTTATTGCAATGAATGTGTAATTGCATTGAACACTAAACATGGGTCTGGTTATAAATGAATAAAAGATTTGCTTTAGAAAATTAAAAGAAAATCGATTTTGTGAGAAACACCTTTGAATAGGATGAACTCTAAAGTTACAAATGTTAGAGTTGCAGTATCTTGCAGATACATAGATTCAATTCGACTATACTTTAAAGAAGCTGGGAAGCCATCAAAAAATTAGTGGAGGAATGATGTCAGCACCATGGTGGAGGGAGTTGTTCCCTTTGTCTCTCAAATCTAAGTCACAGCCAGTGGGACATGCAGTGACCAACAAAAGCCTACCTGCACAGCACACCAAAATACGTGAGAGATCCATACATTTATACATCTGAAAGCAGCTGGAGTGAACCTCCACGAGGCAGTGGAACTAGGGGAGCAGTGGTGGTGACTCCAACACCTGCCCTCCCAGCAATGAGGGCTGCATCCAAAACGTGGATGCCTCTGGCAGTGGTGGTGGGGCCCTGACCTGAGGTTTCAAAAACCACAGCGATGCCAGAGACTAGAGGCTGCAGGGGCAGCAATGGCTCTCGTGGCTCAGCTCCTGCCCTTCCCCCAGCAATGGCAGGTGGTGCCTGCAATCTGAGGATTCAGGAAATACAGCAGTATCTGTGACCCAGCACCCAGTGGCAGCACCCCAACACCGGCCCCACAGCAGCGGGGACTGCATATGAGACCCTGGTAGTGGCAATGACACCATCTGAATGCCCCCAGCAGCAGTGCTGCCAGCTCCCCTAGATAACCCAGGAGCAGTAGCACAGGTGGTGCATGTGGCAGCAGCACCCAAGCCCAAGAAAGCCAGCAAAGAACCAGTGGGGGAACGTGAGACCCAGGTGCCCCTGGAAGCAGCAGAGGTGCTTGCAGCCTGGTGACCCCAGTGATGACAGCCACGACTGCAGTGATATCATAAAGAGCAAGGCATCAGCAACCTTGGGGGCACAAAGAGGGCAGTGATGATGCCTCTGGCAGAGGCAGTGGAGGGCAGAAAATACAGGCTCTCAAATACAATCAGAAGGAGCTCAGAACCACAGTAACCAAAGCTTTACCCAAATAAGAAAGGTGTTACTACCACAAACGTGCCCGCAGAGAAACAAGTCATCAAGCACCACAAAAAGCTACAGTAACTACAGTACAGAACTATGGTAGCACAGAAAGAAAACAACAACTTTCCAGAAATCAAACTTGAAGTCACAGAAGATTACAATCTAACTGATAGAAAATTCAAAATACCTGTCATGAAGAAATTCAACAAGTTACAAGAAAACTCAGAAATACAGTTCAATGAGCCCAGGAATAAAATTAATGAAGAGGAGCGTTTCAGCAAGGAGATTGAAACTCTAAAAACCAAACAGGCTATGGAGATGAAGAACACAATTAATGAGATGGAAAATAAAGTAGAATTCATTGGAAATAGAGCAGACTATACAGAAGAGAGAATTAGTGAGCTCAAAGACAGAAACCTAGAAATGATTCAGGTGGAAGAAAGAACTAAGATTTTTAAAAAATGAAGAAATCCTATGAGAAATATTCAACTCAATTAGGAAAAGCAACATAAAGATAATGGATATACTAGAAGGAGAAAAGAGGGAAAAAGAAATAGCTTATCTAAAGAAATAATAGCTGAGAACTGCTCAAACCTGGGGAAAGAACTGGAAATACAACTACATGAAGGTAACAGAACTTCTCATTATCTCAGTGTAGAAAGACCTCCAAGACTCATTATGTTAAAACTGTCAAAAATCAATGATAAAGAAACAATAGTAAGGGCAGCCAGAAAGAGGAAAACTTACAAATAACCCCTATCAGCCTATCAGTGGATTTCTCAGCAGAATCTCTACAGGCTAGGAGAGAGTGGAGTGATATATTCAAAATATTATCACCCAAGAATACTCTATCCAGCAAAGTTATCTTCCAGATATGGAAAAATAAAAGCTTCCCATACACACAAAAGCTGAGGGAGTTCACTGCCTTACAAGAAATGTTGAAAGGAACCCTCTTACTTGAAACAGAAAGGCAAAGGTTTACAAAGCTTTGAGCAAGGTGACAAACAGAATCAGAAAACTGCAATTCTATATTAGGTTAGTAAACAATTATAAAGTTTGAAGGGAAAGAAAGCATCAAAAATAACTATAACCACTTCAATTTAGTAACAAATTCACAACACGAAAAATAATATAATTTGTGACAACAAAACATAGAAGGGGAAGATGAAAAGAATGGAATCTGCATAGGCTAATGGAGTTAAAACACTATCAGCAGAAAAAAGACTGTCGTTTATGAGAGCTTTTATAGAAACCTTACAGTAACCACAAAACAAAAAATCAGAGGAGAGTCACACATCATAAATAAAGAGGAAACTGAGGAAAACATCACAGAAATCCAGCAAACTGAAATGGCAGACAGAAGCATAAGGAAAAAGAAATAATGGAAATAGGAACAACTGGAAAACAAAAGATAAAACGGCAGTATTAAGCCCAAATATATCAATAATTACTCTAAATATAAATGGGTTGAATTCACCAATCAAAATGGCTGGAAGGATTAAAAACAAGACCCAACAATAGGCTGCCTCCGGATCTATCTCATCTCTGAAGACAAACAGGCTCAGAGTGAAGATGATACTTCAAGCAAATGGCAATCAAAAGAAAGGTGTAGCCATATTTGTAACAGACTAAATAGACTTTAAGCCAAAAAAAGATAAGAAGAGACAAAGATGGACATTATATAATGATAAAAGGGACATTCCACCAAGACATAACACTTATTAATAAATATGCACCTAACATAGGAGCACAAAGTATATAAAGTAACTAACAGACCTAAAGGGAGAAATTGACAACAACACAATAATAGTAGGGGATTTTAACACCCCACTTATATAAATGGATAGATCATCCGGACAGAAAGTCAACAGGAAACATTGGCCTTAAATGAAACACTAGACCAGCTGGACTTAATAGATACATAAATATAGAACATTCTATCTGAAAGCAGCTGAATACATATCCTTCTCAAGTACACATGGAACCTTCTCAAAGACAGATCACATATTGGGAAGCAAAACAAGCCTAAATAAATTTAAGAAGATTGAAATCATATCAAGCATCTTTTCTGACCACAATGGTATGAAACTAGAAATCAACTACAAGAAGAAAGCTGGAAAAGTCACATATACATGGAG